GTTTCTCCAAAGTAATATTCAAGAAGAAAACTAAAAAAAGAGTTTTTTTTTTTTTTTTTTTTTGGCTTTGAGCTTAGCTCACTTAGCCACGAAAACATAATTCAAAAGTTCAAACTTTAGCTAATCATTCACATTTACTTAAACCCACCCAACGATAATAGAGATAAAAAAAAAAGAAGGAATCCAGCACAAAGGATAAACACATGGACACACGCTTCTCGTCCTGGGGTCTATGCAGGACATTTTTAAACTTCAACAAAACACAGGTGGACCCGGTTAGGAAGGATGTAACATATAAGGAAAAAAACAGGAAACAAAACTAACTCTAATTATCTTTCAAATAAGGACTTTACATAATTTTAAGTAATTAATAAATATATTTTCCAAGTTATCATATGATAAAATAAGCTTAATTAAACCCTTGTGGTTCATAGGTATGAGAAAGAGTTTTTCCAATTCTCTTCTTAAGAATGAAGTTGCAAATTCATTGTGTCTACAACTAAATAATCTATGATTCAAGTCATCTTCAGATTGGTTATCACAAGAGCATCGCGTGCTCTCGCATAACTTAAGCTTATACATGTGTTTATTAAAATTTCCATGCCCAACTAGAAATCTGAAATAGGAAACAAACACATTTCTGGAGAGTTTAAAACGTTCTATTAGTGGCTTTTTATTCAATCTAGGATATAAGGAGTTATACAAATTAGGGGAGTTAACTGCCATTGCAATATAATTACTGCGCCAAACTTCCCAAGATCTTTCTTTGATTATTTCGAAAAAGTCCGAATATGGAGTAATTTCCGGGATCTCTTCTGATACGATCGCCTCTCTTGCTGCATTGTCAACCAATTCGTTGCCTTTGAGACCTGTATGTCCCTTAACCCATACAAAGTTGACAGAAATATTTTTAGAGCACAAAACAGAGAATACCTCCAATACTTTGGCTACAATAAGATTCTTACAATTCATCGCATTTTTGAGAGACTTCAAAAAAAAAAGAGTTAAGGTTTAAAGTCAGGCCTATAGTTTAGTACAGCAACGCAAGATGTCAATGCTGTCGCCCCTATAGTGTGCCCTAACTTGACTGTCAAAAAAAATAGAAATCTTCATTTGGTTAAATTGTGTGATGGAACGTTTTTTCTTTTTTTGACGGAAATTCGAAGTATTATTCTGTTTTACATAAACAGGGTTGTAGTTTCGACCAACGCAAATAATTTTGAACGTTCATCCATCGGATTTTTTTTTTAAACAGTGTAGCTACGGGCGTATTTGCAACTATTTTTGTAGTAGCGAGAAAACTACAAGTTCAAAAAATTTGTAAAAAAAATATGTCGCGTAGAATTGCAATAGTAGTTCGTAATAAAAATAATGGGAAACTTCATCTATTCGTTTTCAAATAAATGGTGATTAACTACTTTTTTTTCAGTTTTTGCGATATAACTCAAAAATGGCGAGTCAAATTTGCTTAAAAAAATTATGGATTAAAGTATATCGATAACCATAAAACATATATTTTTTTTGGAATTTTTGAACACAAGGTTCAGAAAATAGGGGTTGACTTTAAACCTTAAGTTAGACCACTGAAATCGTAATCAACAAACAAGAAATTCCACTAGAAATTCTTCAAGAAACCTTACAGAGCCTTGATGATAACTTCAGAGTTATAGCTCCACTTGTAGTGCCTGTTCAAAGAGCCACAACAACTTTAACAAAAAATTTATTGGAGATACTCGATGAGAAAGCGTCTGCAACTAAAAGTATTGACGATTTACAAACTACCATTGCTTTGCTTAAAGCTACAAACTCAATTGCTAACAAAGAAGCTATTGAATTTGAAAATATTGAAGAACAAGTTGAAATGGTTCCGACTATCTTAGCAAACGTTGCAGGTATGGAAACTTTGACTACAAAAATCATAAGTAGTTCTGTTGAAAAGATTGATTCGGTATTGAAGAGTATGGAGTTTCCTCTGGCCAATCTTGTAAATAGTTGAAATAATCATTTTTTTGTGGGAGAAGTTTCTACTAACTTCGTCCAGCTCTTCTACTGTAGCTTCTAAGGCTTTTAGAGCTTTTATCATGGGACTCAGGTTGCTATCATATTGCGACTCAACTGATGCTTGAATGATTTCAATAGCATCTTCAAAACCTTTACGGCCTTCCTTGGAAATGTTCCATACATTTACAGCTATTGTTAATACTCACATCTTCCACTTCATAAGAAGAAAATAGTTTCTTTTCATTTATATCTTTGACAATTTTTGTATATCTGGTAATTCCTCTAAGTTCAACTGCTTTGTCTAAAATTCAGCTTCGGCTTGGTGGAATCTCCAAAACTTTTTCAATTATCATTGAAATCTGTAGCTCCGACACTGTGTCCGAGCGAAAGCTGCGGGGCTCTTAAAATTAGATCCACTCAAAACACGAAAAATAAGAGCCGACATCCCCGCCAGCATCTGCCCTGTTGCTTGTGTGTCGTAATAAAGGAAAAACGGCTGCAAACAGGTAATATATTTTACCAGAGAACACTTTACTGGTTTTGATTTTTGATCATGTTGGATTATAATATACCTTCCAACAACTTTTTATTAGACTCAAACTTGAAACTTTTGATAAACATGTATGTATATAATAATGTGGGCCTATTATAAGTTGTTTCCTGTCCTGTTGAGAAATTGATAAAAATTGCAATCGGTCTCATCGTCACCTGCTCCTGCAGACAGCTGGTTGCGAAATGTACAAGGGAACTTCGTAATAATTAAGTGACCCTTGTTCTTGTTTCAATCTTCTTTGTTGTCCCCCGTTATTAGCCTTGGAACAATTTTCGCCGGTGCATTAATTGCATTTAAATAAAATGTAATAACACGGTGCCGAATACTCGCTTGGGCTTTCACATTTTCGTATGCACGCTTATTATTAGTTTGCGTAATCTCGAATTGTAGTTTGTAAACGCAATTCCAACCCTAATGTATTCGTTTTGTGTCTATCACACACCGTTGCTCTCGAAACCAACTGAACCGTGAGGGAGGAAGATGGACTTCCGACCTATTTCCGTTAAAAAAAAACAAAACGGCAAAATTCGCTCTCTCTCCCCCTTTTGTAATGGTAAATCTAACTAGACCACCTGTAGAATTTAATAGTATAGTTGGGTGCATTTAAATGGAAAAGGGAACAAAAGGGCCTTTATGAAAACTAATCAGAACACTAGAGATCTGGTTAAATAAGTAAAATTAACAGAAAAATCACACATAAACAATCTACAAACATCTCTTTAGATGATAAAACTTAAGTAAATATTTTCAATTAAAAGTAGAAGAATTAAGGTATAAATAAATCATAAAACTTCGAAGCAAGCTGAGCTAATTTTTCCAAGATCCTCTAAAGGGCTATGTTTGTTGGGAGTTTATGACCTAAATTGAACCCTTTTTGTTTTAATAACAGAGTACCATTAATGGTAGAGGGTTCAGGATGAAGGGTGCATGGTCAAAGACCACCAGAGGATAGAAAAAAAAAAACGTTGCAAGTAGAAAATGATAATAATTTGTGGCAAAAGCTTTGTCAATTTGGGTCGTTTCCCCAATATATTTAATAATCTGTCACACGAAGGATGAAATATGTTTCTGACCGTTCCTTAGAGAAACTCAAACTACCCTGCAACACAATAGAACGGCCAAAGTGAATCAGAAAATTTGTCTTTTCAATAAAAAGCCCCCACACACACACACACGCAGGCAAGATTTCTAAGAAGTTTGCTAAGGTTGCAGGTAGATTGATTTTTTGAGGACAAGTGGAGATAAATTACATACAAGAAGCTTGAACAGCTCTAAGTATGGATATTCAATGTTTGAGAAAATATTGTCTTGAGTCGAAAATAATAATTCTGAATTGGTCAACGAATTCAAGCTCAAGTTCTTGATTACCGCCTGGATTTTACGTAAACTACGAGATTTCCAGAAAGACCCATAACTTTTTTTCTATTAAAGCTGAAATTATCAGCCATTCTTATTCCAGTAGAGGACTACAAACAATCCCTGAAAATTTCAGCTCATTTGGACTTATAGTTCCAGAAGTTAAATCGTGTTAAGCAATTTGGGGTGATTTATCAATTTTTCTAAGTGCCTTTTTTCATAGAATCCGGCTCCAAACTCCAAATCTCAGAATAATTTAGTGTATGGAGTTTGGGCCCGAATGATCATTTTAGACATAAAATCTCAACACAAAAAAATTTGAGATTTCATCATTCTAGGCTAAGGTAGCTGCATTATGATTAAGATTTTCAAAAACTTTGAAAGGTCATAACTTTTTATTTTTATTGATAACCTATTTCACCTATTTAAAGTACTCCTTAGCGTGTTTAAATCCAACATTCAAAAACGCGCGTGTTTTAAAGTTACCAATGACAACATCAACAACCAACAACCCGAGAAAGGTCTAAATGACAACTTTTTAATTATTGATTTGTCAGGAGTAGGTAGGTACTTGTAGATAACGTCAAATAAAATGTAACAAGTGTCAAGCACAAATTTAGCATTCTACAATAATTATTAATAGTAATTTATGATTTGAACGTATACCAATTTAAAAAAATAGTGTAAAGTATTCACTTATACTTTAATATACTATTCTATTAAAGAAAAAAACCTGAAATTTTCAGCGATTATTAGCCCAGTAAGGGACCACAATCCCTGAAAATTTCAGTTTATTTGGAATTATAGTTTCAGAAATAAAATCGCGTTGAGCAATTTGGGGTAAATTTATAATTTTTCAATTTTTCTCAGTGCCTTTTTTTATAGGTTTCGGCTCGAAATTTCAGAATAACTTAGTGTATGGTGTTTGGGGGATCCCAAATGATCATTTACCTAGATACAAAATCTCTACATAAAAAATTTGAAATATCATTTTAGTAGTACTGAGGTACCTACCTTAGGATTTAGATTTTTGAAAGAAAAAAGAAAAAAACTCCACCTGGGTTACCGCTGAGTGGATTGAGTAGCTCAGATGGTGCCACTGTCGGTCCCAAGCCCGGATAAAGAAGAAGGGTTGGAGGGCGAGGCTAGCAACCTACCCTCCATAAAACAATCGCTATACTCACAGAACCCAAGCATTGCCTCGGAACAGGACGGATTCAATGTTGACGACACAAGCGAGGACAAGGAAAATGAGACGGAACAAACACATCAAGAAGCAAATAAGGCTGGGATGTTGGAACGTAAGATCGTTCAGTGGAAAGGACCAAGAAAGTATACTAGAACTACAGCATCATAAAATAGACATATGTGCCATATCTGAAACAAAAAAGAGAGGAAAAACAATACCCCAACATGAAGGCATAATAATAATGGGCGACTTGAACTCTAGAGTAGGAAACAAGGTAATACCTGAAGTCAAGAATAGATTCAATGAGGAGACAGTAAACGAGAGAGGTTAGAAGCTTGTTCAATTTTGCGCTTACCAGGAACACAAACCCCAACACAAAGTCACATTTCAGGGCAATATAGGGGTAGCGTCCACAATAGACTATACAATAACGAATAAAGCCATTAAACCAGAGCAAATATAAGATGTTAGATCAGTAACATCGGCAAACATCAGATCAGATCATAACTTAGTAATGGAAATAATCACCATGGCAAGACCGCCAGCTAATAGGAAGAAACCGGACAACCGAACAACAGAACAACAGAAAGCAGGCTGGATCTGTACTAACGGCGCATATCCCAAAAAATTGAAAGGGAACCCAACCCAACATAAACCAAGCAGCGGAGGAGGCACTAGGCAAAAGAACAGTCAACAAAACGACAAAACACAGAAATATTAAACGATGGTTCAAACCAGAGGTAAAGATAAGAAGAGAAGGCCCAGGAAAAGAAAATAGCCCACCCAACATACACAGCCAACAAGACTCCAAGAAACCACATCAAATACATCGAAAGAAGAAACAAACGCATAAAGGAAATAAAGAGAGAGCATTGGGAGAACTTCAGTAGAGAAATGAAGAGTGACTTTTATGGAACCCAAAAACGCATATGGAAAATGCTCAGAGCAACAGGGAGAGAAATAAATGAGACAGTACATTTAAACAACATCACGGCAGCCGAATGCTACTTTCAGAGCCTGTACAGAAACCGGGATGAACAGGAACAAGGAAGGCCCAAGGAGCGGAGAAGGTTGAACCGAGAGGAAGCCATAAACATCGAGGATGTAGAACAATACACGGTGGAGGAAGTAATATCCGAAATGAAGCACCTGAAAAAAGGTAAATCTCCACGCCCGGACAACGTCCCAAACGAACTGCTGAGGTGCGGAGGAAAAGCTCTGGCGGGACAGCTGGCCGAACAATTCAACAAAATATTGAAGGACGAAAATACACCAGCGAGTTGGAGACAGAGCATCACAATCCCAATATTCAAAAAGGGGAGAACCTCAGATCCGGCGAACTACCAAGGAATATCGCTTCTAGACACGACCATGAAATTGTTCACCTGTATGCTGCACCAACGCATTCTCAGTTACACCACAATAAGTGAGGAGCAGCAGGGTTTTCGCAAAAACCATTCGACGATTGACGCAGTGTTCGATGTCAGGCATGTGGTAGAGAAGGCAATATAGTAGAACAAACCTCATGCATACCTGTGCTTTATAGATTTGACGAAAGCGTTCGACAGGATAAGACTGGAGGACGTTAGGAACGAGCTGGACCGCAGGAGAATACACCCAAGCATCATGGAGACGGTCAGAAAGCTCAACACAACAACACCACAACAATATACGAACAAAATTAACAACAACAAAAAAAAAAGAACAAAACACAGGGAAACGACAGGGAGATAGTCTCAGTCCACTACTGTTCATCATCATAATGGACAGAATAATAGAGCAACTGCGCAAGATAGACCCGGGATACAAGATGGGAAACCAACAAATTAAAATAATATGTTACGCAGACGACGCAAGGCTATTCGCGGACACGGAAGACGGATTGCAATGGCTTTTACAGGCGTTTAAGAAAGAGGCCGAAAAAGTTAACATAGAAATTTCCCTTGTGCAAATTACACTGGAAATTTTGCATACAAATTGTCAAAATTAACAAGTGGAAATTTTTGGAAATATCCCGGGAAAAATTTCCAGAATTGTCATTTTTGACATTGATACCCGCTTTCCCATTTAAAAAGCATTGATGTCAGAAATCTGTCAAAGTGTATATTTTTGACAAACGCAATTTAAATGGGAAATATTAATAACAATAAGCAACAATAAAAAAATTCGACACAACGTAGTAAATAAACTTCAAACTCGGGAAATTTCCTATCAAAATATAACACGTGCATAAAATATTTCCTAAGGGAAATTTTGAAAAATTTCGTCTTTAGCCAATTTTTTTGAACAAAACCATTCGTGCATAGCGCAAATGAAAAAATCCCGAACCCGAAGGGTTGATTTTGTTGAAAAATTGGCTTCAGACAAAATTTTCAAAAATTTCCGGAAATATTTTATGCACTAGTTATATTACTACTGGAAATATCTATACCACCAAAACAAAAAGCATGATGATAATCGCCAGGGAACCACGCAGATGCAAACTAGAACTCAACAACAAAATAATAGACCAGGTTTTTGAACTCAACTATCTGGGAATAACAATATCACCATACGGTGAACTCAAGAATGGCGTACGGAACCAGGTAAACAAGGCAGCCAGGATAGGAGCCTTACGAACAACCATATGGAAAAATACATAAGTAGTCGGGGCGGTTAGTTGAATAATCTTGCAAATTGTGATAAAAGCATGAAATTTGGTACAGATGATTTTTTCACAATTACAAGCGATTTGACCCGCATGACACCCTATTTGGCACCATAAGAGCAAAATGGCGACCATTTGCAAAATGGCGGCTATAAAGAGGTTAAATTGGTAATGGTGGTTCGATTTTAGCAAACTTGGGGTCGTTTTCGAATAATTTTGGTTCGGGAAATGTATTAAAATATATAATTTTGGGATTAAAGGCCATTTTGACTGTTAAAACAAGAAAAAAAAAATTGAATAATATTGTCGGATTTTAAATTTTTATGACCTGTTTAGAAATGTTATCAACAAAAACTAATTTTTACACCTAAATTACTACATATAATGTAGGTACCGAGTGATCGGCGGCGGGTAGAGGGTTAATGTGCAAGGGGGAAGGGTTTCAGGAAGGATGTGGAATTTAGCGAAGTCAGGAATAATTATACATAGATTTATTGAAAACGTATTTTTTCTAATGAAATAGTTATCTATTATCGCATCGTATGTATTTGCACTAGGTGTAAAGTACAACGAACAGAGCGTAGCTCGTCTACATGAACATCGCGTTGTACCCACAGCCTGATTTGCAGCCACCCCTTTCTATAGTTCTCTAGAGGCATTCCATATATGTATGTCGGCAAAGACCATAATGGTTGCCAAATTTTTCCCCAATTTACCCATCCCCAATCACTATGGTTTGGGAAAAGAAACTATGAGACTTATCCCTTGCTCGGCCCCATATTTGACCCGCCTGGGTAGGCAGACCTTAAAGTGTGCTGTATTGAAACACCAGGGGGCGGATTCTATAAGGTCAAAGCGAAACTATCACGTTCGTCATGGGACGCTTTATTCGGTTTGCTATTCTATAACACCTTTCGGGAGGATTCGGGAACTCCGATCACGAAGCCGATTGCAAAGCGGAAGCGATGAATTTTGGCTCGCGTTTTGTTTCGCTTTCCACTGGAAAGTTTTCAGTGTCCATAGTAGAGGTGGGAAACTATCGAAGAATGCAACTATCGATATATCGATAGTAACGAATAAAAACTATCGATGTATCGATATAACTATCGATAAAAAAAAGGGTTTACGTTTTGGACCCATTTTATATTTGGGGTTTCAACAATTAGCATCTAATTAGTCGGCCTATTAGACGGTCAGAACTTTTACAGCAAAAGTGCTGTTTAGTGCTGAATCCTAGTCTTAGATGGCGCAACGATCAAATTTCGCCCGCCGTGAATAACAATGTTAAATTACACACGTTCTTTTTTCTTTAAACTGGAAGTAAAAAACAGAAATAATCACCAATATGAACTGAAATAAGGTGTAGTTGAATTGTGGAGGTTGTTGTTGTTAACTGATGATAACTGAAAACATAACTCATCTTCATCGTTTTTAATTTTGATTTCAACTTTCAACTACCATAGTACCATACCATCAGAACCAAAATAAAAAACAATCATAGATATGAGGAAACCTCAAAGGTTGTTTGAGAGAGATAGGTTGCCTGTACTTTTATGGTGTCATCTGGGGTGTCTCAACAATTCCAAATCCTCTAGACACCTCAGAACAGATGACGTCATCAAATTACCCATTACCAGACAACCTATTAACTTCAAGAGCCTTGATGAAAGATGAAATGTAAATGATATTTCTTGACGCTTGACATCGCTGACATGAGAAAAGACAGGAGGACTGCTATCGATTGTCCAAGTAAAACTATCGATAGTTCGATAGTGTAGCAAACTATCGATATATCGATAATTACTATCGATAGTTTCCCACCTCTAGTCCATAGTGATTGGTCGATCATCGTCACGGTAGACAATTACGGGTTATGTCATTGGTTTTGATCTTGACGAGGTTTTTATGTTGAATTTTGATCCTTTGTGCAAATTTAATTTTTCTCTATCAAATTTAATTCAAAAAATTTACAAAATGTAGAAAAAATCAAAAACACATCCGTTTCAACATCTATCTGTTAAACCAAATGGGTCACTTCTAGCTCAAATCATTGTATAAATCTAAGGTATAAATAAACAGTCTTTTCATTCGTTGTTTAAAAGAACCTACTGTCTTCTGGCGTTAACCTGAGTTAATTTCTTCGCTCAAGTTCTCTATATAACTACAACAAATTATATCGGCAACATTTTTAGCACACAATAATATGAGAAATGCAATATAAATGTTATAGAAAGAAAAATAGGAATGATTAATTATGTCATTGAAGTTTCAAATTTTCAAAATTCAAATTTGAGGTATGTTCCTTTATTGGTTCCCTTTGATTTTCTCTTCTTTTTTACGGTTTTGGCTTTGGGCTCATATATCTACAATGTTGCCATAATTATTTAACCATACATCGTTCAAACTCGTATTTTGTCGTGTGACACTAGGAAAACGAAGCGGAAGCGAAGCGAACACCTTATAGAATATCAACATAAATCGACTTCGCTATGGTTTAGCTTAGCTTTCGCTTAGTTTCGCTATATAAACGAAAATTACAGAATTCCCTAGCTGATGTAGGATGAAAGATAGATTTTTTTTGTGGGAAGGAAATGAAAAAAAAAAATGTCAATGATGTTTTTCCCGGGGAGTAGAAATATTTTCTAAGCTGGGAAGAATAGGCGGTATATATCAGTACACCAACTGTTTAAAAAATTGGGCTAGTTTGGGTTAAAGAAAATGAATGACACTCAGGGGTTTTCACACCTTTAAATGTTGTGATAGTATTTTTTTTCCAAAAAAAGACAAGAAAACTGCTTACGAACCATTCTCCTCTCCGAGGATGTCGATCATTGCACTTCAATTTTCATTTCGTCCCCTCAAAAAAATCTTCCGGATCCTATTCAAATCAGTAGGAGAAAATGTATACTTCAAAAGGAGAGCATAGGGATGTTAAAAAACTAAGTAAATACCTCTTCTGCACCAAAAATGTTCCTATTCACGTAATACCTCCTACAGCACACCTTAAAGGGGGTGTGACCCTAAAAAACGACTTAAGCTACTTAAATCAAGAAAAAAATTCTAAGATCTCTCGTGAAAACCGCAGTCCTGTACTCAAAATAATCTCCGAGAAAATTCCTTGTGAAGATCAATTATGCAGGAAATTGTGATGTCACAACCGCCGAAATCGCAGTCTTCTGGTCGTTCAGTCATCAGTGACCCTATCTCTTTACTCTGAGTGGTTGCAATTCGCTATAGGAGATAATTATCTTTTGTTTTGGAAAATTCTCACACGTGTTAATACCATCCCTGAAAGTCCAGTGTGACGTCACAAACGCCTAGTTGTAACTTTAAATCGCCCTAACTCGAAAACGGACCATCGTAGCAAGATGCGGTTTGAATATTTATTCTTAGATTTTTTTGCCCTAAAACTTTAATTTTTGGGTCACACCCCCTTTAAGGTCTGCCAGGCGGGTCAAATAATATGAGGCCGAGCAATAGATGAGTCTTATTTTTCATGGACGAACTTAGTGATTGAGGATGGGTAAATTCGGGAAGAATTTGGGAAACATTGTGGTCTTCTTTGCCACATATATTATGGAATGCCTGTAGAGAACTACACCTTTTCCATATGTATTTCAGAGGCTGTGAGTTCAATTTCAGAAACTGTCAATTGCAGTTTAGACTAGTAAATTGAATTTCGGAAAGCGTCAATTGCCTTTCAGATTATTTAATTTTATTTCGGAAAGAGTCAATTGTATTTCAGACTAGTATATTTTATTTCAAAAACGTCAAACGTATTTCAAATTAGTTAATTTTATTTCGGAAAGCGTCAATTGTATTTCAGATTTGTTGATTGTATTTCAAAAAGCTTGAATTATATTTTAGAATTTGTCAGATGTACTTCAAAAATCATCAGTTGTATTTCAGATAATAATAATATAAGAACGGACAGATTTTCCCAAATCAACACCAGCAAGGTGTATAAGTGAACCATTATAAATTTCATTTACCTACGAGCGTGCGGTAAAGTGCACTTTACCGCACGTATTTGCAAATGGAAAGTATCACTTTACCGCACACTATGCGGTAAAGTGCACTTTACCGCATAGTGTGCGGTAAAGTTAACTTTACAGCATAGTATGCGGTAAAGTAGAATACAAAGTGTGCGGTAAAGTGCACTTTACCGCATAGTGTGCGGTAAAGTAGAATTTAATATATTTATAATCAAGAATCCCCTCTTTTTCAGAAAATGGATTTTTGATCATTTCTAAATCTTATCTAATTTCATTAATTAATCTAATTAATTAATTAATTTTATTAATGTCTTTTTTGGAGATTTAGATGCTCATAGGTAAAATTTTGTAGCTAACACATGCGGAAAGTGCCTTTACCGCCCTTAACGGCTTGACCGAACTCCGCTTCGCGTCGTTCGGTCAACTGCCGTTGCGTGCGGTAAAGTATCACTTTCCGCACTTGTTAGGTAAATAACTATTAATACACTACGTACATTGAAAACATCTGAAATACATTTGACAAATTCTGAAATACAATTTACAATTCCTGATCTACAAATGAATAATCTCAAACACAAATGAGTCAAATGACGTTTTCTGAAATACAAGAGACCAAACTAAAATACAAATAACTTTTTCTGAAGTACAGCTGACCAAACTGAAACACAAATGACGGTTTTTGAACTACAACTCACAAAGTTGAAATACAAATAACACTTTCTGAAATTAAACTTACACAACTGGAATACAATTGACGTATTCTGAACTAGAATTGATGAATCTGAATGAAATAAAAGTTACACATTCTGAAATACTTATGGAAAAGGTGTAGAAAGGTGTGGCTGCAAACCAGGTTGTGGTACGGTACAACGAGGTGTTCATGTAGACGAGCTACGCTCTGTTCGTTGTACTCTACAGTGCCAAATGCATAAATTGCAATAATAGATAACTAACGTCTGGCCAACAATTCTGAAACTACGGGGAATCGGTACGGAGAATGCAGTTCTGAAAAAGAATGGCTGATGTCATTCATGAAATACCCATAGCTCCGTGCGGAACTTTTTAAAAGTATAATATCTTATTGCAACTCATACACTGTATCTTTAGAAAATCTTTACCTTTTATAGACCAAATAAATTGGACAGTTATTATAGACATAAAGCTGAAATTTTCAGCGATTCTTATCCTAGTAAAGGACTAAAATCCCTGAAAATTTCAGCTCATTTGGACTTATAGTTCCAGAAATAAAATCATGTTAAACAATTTGAGATGATTTATCAATTTTTCAATTTTTCTGAGTGCCTTTCTTCATAGAATACGGCTCCAAATCTCAAAATAATTTTGTGTATGCAGTTTTAGGGATCCCAAAAGACCATTAGGACACAAATTCTCAAGAATTTTTTTTTGAAATTACATCGTTTTAGTATTGTATTAGCTACCTTATGATTTAGATTTTCGAAAACTTTGAAAGGTCATAACTTTTTTTCCATTAGAGATAGAAAGCTGACATTTTCAGCGATTCCTATTCCAGTATAGGACTACTCTGAAAATTTCAGCTCATTTGAACTTATCATTCCAGAAATAAAATCGTGTTGAGCAATTTGGGGTGATTTGTCAATCTTTAAATGTTTCTGAGTGCCTTTTTTCATAAAATCTGGCTCCAACTCTCAGAATAATTTAGTGTATTGAGTTTGGGGGGCTCCAGAGGACCATTAAGAAACAAAATCTCAGCAAAATTTTTTTTTGAAATTTCATCTTTTTAGTACTAAGCTACCTTATGATTTAGATTTTGGAAAACTTTGAAAGGTTATAACCTTTATTCTAATATAGATACAAAGCTGGAATTTTCAGCGATTCTTATTTCAGTAGAGGACTACAATCCCTGAAAATTTCAGCTCATTTGGACTTATAGTTCCAGAAATAAAATGGTGTTAGGCAATTTGGGGTGATTTATCTATTTTTCAATTTTTCTGAATGCCTTTTTTCATAGAATACAGCTCCAAATCTCAAAATAATTTTGTGTATGGAGTTTGAGGGATCCCAAAAGACCATCAGGACACAAATTCTCAAGATTTTTTTTTTTTTAATTACATTATCTCAGTACCTTATGACTTATGATTTAGATTTTGGAAAACTTTGAAAGGTCATAACTTTTTTTTCTATTATACATAGAAAGCTGAAATTTTCAGCGATTCTTATTCCAGTCAGTAGAGGACTATCATTCCTGAAAATTTCAGCTTATTTGAGACATAAAATCCCAACACAAAAAAATTTGAAATTTCATCATTTTCAGTACTAAGCTACCTACCTTATGATTTAGATTTTTGAAAACTTTCAAAAATCATAAAAAAATTTCTATTAGAGATAGAAACCTGAAATTTTCCAGCGATTCTTATCCCAATAGAGGACTACAATCCCTGAAAATTTCAGCTCATTTAGACTTATAGTTCCAGAAATTAAATCGTGTTGAGCAGTTTGGGGTGATTTATCAATTTTTTGAGTGCCTTTTTTCATAGAATCCGGCTCCAAGTCTCAGAATAATTTAGTGTAATAAGTATGAGGGATCCCAAAGGACCATTAGGATACAAATTGTCAACAATTTTTTTTTAAATTTTATCGTTTTAGTACTAAGTAGGTACCTTATGATTTAGATTTTGGAAAACTTTGGAAGATCATAACTTTTTTTCTATTATAGTTAGAAAGCTGAAATTCTCAGCGATTCTTATTCCAGTAGAGGACTACAAACTACAGTCCCTGAAAGTGTATGGAGTTTGGGGGTCCCGAATGATTATTTTAATGCAAAATCTCAACACAAAAACTACCTTATGATTTGGATTTTTAAAAACTTTGAAGACCCAGGCATAACATTTTTTCTATTATAGATAGAAAGCTGGAATGTTAGCGATTCTTATATCCTATGAATATAAGAAGAAAAGGGATGGACATCAATTACCGGCAACCAGTCTATTCAACAGAAAATAGAAAATTCAAGCATTTGAAAATAAATCTTATGATCAATAAGAAAATACAGATGTTGAATGAGACGAAATGGTTGAAGCTTATACCAATAACATTGGGTGTTTATACGATGCTGATTTTCTGAGTTACTCTGTCCGAAATTCAATTTATGAGTGTCCTGGAAGTTTGTGGCAAAATCCTATTATATAGTTTCTAGTGTCCTGGAAATTCATAATGTCTAAACTTGACTCTATAGAATCAATTATGTCAAAAATCGAATTTCTGAGAGCTTCCTGGTAAATCGTATGGCAGATCACTTCTCTAGAAATCAAAACAAACTCTTTTCAGAAACACCATCAACACACAAAAACGCTGCCTGGTACAATAAGAATTTTCCTTTTGATTCAAACCCTATAATCCAACATCCCAACCTTGCGTCATCTTCAATAAAACTCATTGTTTCAAAAACTGCCTCCAATTCAAAGAAAGCCACTTTCATGACAACAAATGCTACCCATTGTTAAATACTCTTCATCTGTGGCAATCAACCCTCACCCAAAGAAAAAAAAAACTAAAAACGAACATAATTCCTGCCTCCTGCCGATTATCAAGCTGCAACTTAACACCTGCCCCTGTGTAAAACACCTTTCGTCCATCGTCGATCTCGTTCGCTCGCTCACCTCTACCGTAAGCTCCGTCTTTCGCTGAGCCTCAATAAAACCATTTCGAAACCCCAACAGTGGCTTCAGTCTTCGTACGAAAGCGGTTCAAAGAACAACCGCAGCTCAAAATGAGAGCCACGGCCAGTACAACGTGCGCCTTTATTTTCTTATTGGTCGCGAGTGTGTGTAATGCTGACATAGTGACCCAAACTAATGAACTAATTGAAGATGCTGACTACGATTTGAGGGTGTTGAGAAAACAAGTGAGAGCGCTGGTTGAAAGGAGAACTGAGGATTTGAAGAGTATTGAGGAAAGTGTAAGGAAAACCGTGTTCAATGGACCAGAAGTTGAGGAGTTAAGAGATCAAGTTAGGAGTTTGAAGTAAGTAATTATTATGCATCAAATTTGTCAATTTGCTACCTAAATTATTGAGGCATATTAAGACGATATCTAGTTTCCTATAGGGTGCAACCGAATATGCCACACAATTTACCGGTTAGTTGACCTAATCGTCAATATCCTCTCCCCTTTTCGTATATGATCCAATTTCATCCCCCAAAATAAGGGGGGAAGGCAGAATTGAAAACGATAAGATTGGCCGCTCCTTATGGACACAATAATCAACTTAGATAATAATCAATTTTGCGGCTTTGCGTGTTACGATTCTGATTGAAATGGATTTTATTTTAGTGCTTTTGAGTTATTATTATGGCTAGTCGTTAAAAATAGATAACTCAGGCCTATAAAAATAGCATTTATTTGACACGAAGGGTACAGGCAAAGAACAATAGACACATAATAATAAAAGAAAAATAGTTTTACTTTATTGATAATTATTATTGTGTTTCAGGATCGAAATCGAACAACTCCGTACCGGTACCATTCCAGCACCGACACCGACTCAAACGAAAAACGACAAACTCACAGTGAAATGGCTTTCGAACGCAGTCTACGAAATTAGAACCGAAATCACCGAACTCCAGAGCACTATCAACTCCTCGGTACTGCTCGAGGACCACGAAGTTCACAAATCCCAAATGAACTTGCTCCAGAGCGACATTTCCAGTTTGAACGTCGAACTGGATGAGTTCAGGATGCTCAATGTTAAAAAAGAAGCGGAAATGACTGTGATGAAGCAGGAATTCGAGAGTCTGAGGCGCGATTGGGAGAATATGGGCATGATTAATGGGAAACTAAGAAATCAGGTAAGAATTTTTTTATATAAAGCCGTAAATCTGCTTAACAATGTGATAAAATAAATTAGCCGGAGGTACCAACCAGCATCAGGACGTCTTGTCAACCTGATTTAAGTCCTTGGATTTTTTTCGTGTGATAATATATTGATTATAATGGTAGTTTGCAGCTGCTTCATCCCATTAAATATTCTTCGATATTAAGTCAATGCGGGCGACCTTAAAGATACATCGTATAAAATTTATATCTATAATTGCATGGTAACATTGCAGGATTTCAAAATTACCACCCACGCAATTCACCATATTATTTTTAATTCCAAACAAAAGTTGTAAGGGAACCCAAAAAGTAAATTCGCCCATGACCATGTCTTTGTCTTTTGGGAGCAGTTTAGCATACGTCGGTACCATTTCAATTTCACTAAAACAAAGTAAAAAGGCACCCGAAATAACGGGCGAGAGAGAAAGAGACGAGGGTACCATTTTCGAGGCAGGTGTCGCGCGTATAAAGTCGGCCGATATTCGTTTTCTTCACCTGCGTTTTTGGACCAATCTGATGCGAGAGTGGTACCCGCATACCCGAACATCGTTTGTCGGTTTCTTATGCGTGTAATGGGTTTTTTTTTTGTTGCTAGGAGGAATCATGAGGCAAAGTCTTTAAAGTTTTTTGAATGTAGAAGATACTCTTTTTCTAAAATAAATGACCACTCTCTGTAAAGGTCGTAAAACCAAGTAAATTCCCACAAAAATATGCGGCCCGGTCTTAAAGTCAACGGCATTCCAAATAAAAATTTTCTCCATTCCATTCCATTCGCGAAAGTGGCATCTCATTATTTCTTTAAGACTCCCTCATCAGGTAAAATTGCCCATCAGGTTTAATTATGTCCTGGTATTAACCGAAGGCCCATTGTTAAGTGTTTGGTATTTCTTGAACAATTTTAACGAATAATATTTTTTTTTTCAGATAAAATCCATGCAACTTGAATGGTCCCATAAGATGAAGGAACTCCAGGAGAACCAACTTCCGCCACTTCCTGAAGAAAACTCCACTCATTCCCGGCACCAAAAAATCCTTCGCCACCACGTTATCTATCTGGAAAGAACTACAAAAATTCTACACAAAGAAAACTCGTTCCTCAAATCCAAATTAGCCAAGATGGACGAAGCCATTAAAACCCTTCAAATGAACAATTTCGACCGAATCAATGGAAACGACATCCAAAACTATATCTCTACCAATAAAATCCAAGAACTCCCGACTGAAACCAATGAAGTTTTACTTAGAACCATTACCAACATCACTGAACAACAAATTTCCAGTACACTAACTATAGCCAATCTATCCAGACAAATGAGCAACTTTGACAAACTCCACTTATCAATGCTAGAGCTTCTCGAAAATGTTGAAACTATAGAAAACAAAGTTGACAAAGCCCTACCAGAAATCCGCAAGGAAATTTCCAAATTTGAAACGCAAGCTGGACAAATTGGAGCTGACGTTTCACTATTAAAAGAAGATCAAAAAAATATCAAAATATCAATGAAAGCCATAAGCTTTTCAGTTTCAAAGCTGCAAGATGATAGACGCGAAGAAACAGAAAATCTGCAAAAGTTTAAAGAACATTTAAGGGTTTTGGAAAAAAGCCACGTAGTACAAAATTCAAGGCTGCATGATCATATATTAAAGGTAAGTCATTAAAAACAAAATTATCTAAAAAATTAACTATTATTTTTTTGTAGGAAGAATCCTCTTCTAGCAACCTAAATGCAACAAAATCCACAATCCACCTAGTAGAAGAGCTTCAAAGCTTTGAAAGCGAATACAAAAGCATTGTAAACAAGCTCCCGCGCGATTGTGGTTCTGTGGATGGTGCCAAAGGCGTTTACCTCATCTCCCCTGGTGATGGTGAACCAATTTTGGCTCATTGTGACAATGGTTGGACCACTATCCAAAAAAGGTACGACGGTAGCATTAATTTCAATAGAAACTGGAACGAGTATGGTAATGGTTTTGGTAGTGCTACTGGTGAACATTGGTTGGGCAACAGAAACTTGCACCATTTAACCAAAGATAATTGCACCATGCTAAAAATCAATATGAAAGATATTTATGGGAAATATTGGGAAGCTACTTATGACCATTTTCATATAGCTGATTATACTCAAGGCTTTAGATTAACCGTATCTCATTATCATGGAAATGCTAGTGATGCTATGGACTATCAAAACAGAATGGAATTTTCTACAATAGATAATGACAGGGACATTTCCAATACTCATTGCGCTAGCAACTATGAAGGGGGTTGGTGGTTTTCGCATTGTCAACATGCCAATTTGAATGGAAGATACAATTTGGGATTGACATGGTTTGATAGTTCCAGAAATGAATGGATTGCTGTGGCTCAAAGCGAGATGAACGTGAAAAAAAGGGATGTGTGCTAGAAGGATACAGATGGAGCAAGGGGGAAAAAGTTACCTTGGATTGACACATAATTATGTTCCAAAGAAAAAAGTCCTGTCCTGCGGAGGCTGTTGATTGTTAGAAAATGACTGAATTTATTTTTAAGCTGCACTTCGATTTTCAATCGGTTTTGTTTTGAAAGGTTGGAAATGCCAGTAGAAACCAAAGATAAGCTAGTTCACCTAGAAGTTAAGTGTATAATTATTGTTAATTAGCATTTAAAATTGTGTATAGTAACTTATTATTTATTGTAGATGATATTTCGCTTTTTTGCCAAAACCAGAATAATTGCCATAAATACAATTTAATAGGTTTTAGCTTTGTAAATATTTTATTATTAGATAAGAGCACTACCTTGTGTAATTATGTTTTTGTACTGAACCAATGAATATTTAATACAATTTTGGAAAAATATATAATATGTATTTTTTTTTATTTATAGGAACGGAATTTTATGAAGAAATCTTCCAATTGCTTGTTAATGAGAAATACCTATACTTTTATAGTTTATTGATTCAATATTCCATAAAAATTGATTTCTATTATTGACAGAGCCCCATAGGCTGTGAAAGATACTTGAGGAAACAATATATTATAGTTATTTTGTAGCTACTTTTGTGAAATACTAAAAACTGGAATTTTCAGAGAATCTCTTCGCTGGTAGAGTTTTTTTTTAATGGAATTCGAAGGCATTCGTTGAAGATATCTTTTTACACAATGGTTGAAGACATAGTCAAAAGCATAAACGCTTTTTTCATATAAAACTAGATAACTCTTACCTCTGGGTCTTTGCTCTGGGTACCTCAAGGTGGTTTAGCCAATTTGGAAAAATGATTATTTTTTGAAATTTTCGTATTGGGTAACTATACTTAATAATATATTGCTATGAATATGATATTCTGCTAATGGATGAAACCGAAAACAAAGTTAGTCATAACTCATAGTTGTAGAAATCACAATTCTGGATTCTTTGCTTTAAGTTTCATTCGCCCTATTGTCAGAAACAGAACTGTATCTACTCAAAAGGCTCAGTGCCGAATGATCATTTATGTCATGTATCATGTCTTGTCAAGTCCGCAACGAACACTTGATAACGTCATGCCTCTGTTTAGGCAACGGAATAATACTGTTAATGTCAGTAGTCTGATGACCTATTTTATTAAAATATAGAACTCTGCCTGTTTTAATTTAATATTGGTTCAACTCAACTAAACATTACATGGTGGCAGCACGTGAAAGCTTATCTAGTTGTGGAAAAGACGACAAGCGTGATTAAGTGCTGCGGTTGTAAGTTGGAGCTTCACCACGACAGCTATTATGAAATACATACCCAGGACATCTGTGCACAAGTGTACGACCGCACTAAGCTGTAGGAAAAAGCAGGAGAACAATGTCGGACAGTAGGACACCCAATGAACTTAGCTTCTCAGGTGATTTAACTTCACACTGGAAATTATGGAAGCAGAAGTTCGAAAACTATATTGTAGCTAGCGGAAAATCGCAAAAAGGTGATGAAGTAAAGATCACAATCTTACTTAATTTAATTGGAGATCAGGGACTCCAAATTTTTATTACTTTTGAATACTCTGTAACAGAGGATAAAACTAAATGAGCCAGACCTAAAAATGAGGTACATTAATAGAACCCCAAAACTAATATCACCTAAAACTCCCAAAATCAACCACGAAACATCGGAATCTCATCAAGCACAAAAAAACTAATAGCTCCCAGAGTCGACATCACATTCCTCTATACAAACGCCTCTTCAATACGCCCAAAACTCCAAGAACTCCACGCACTAGTAGCAAAAGAAAAACCAACATTACTTCTAGTCACAGAAACGTGGCTTAACCAAAATATTCCAGATACAATCATAAACATAGCAGGTTACAATTTATATACACAAGACAGAACTGGACAAGATGGCGGCGGCATCTGCATTTTTGCTGCTACAGAAATAAATGGACAAAAAATTGTAGTAAATTCAAATACAACTTACTTAATCCAAAGTACAATAGATGCAATCTTTCTGAATACAAAAATTTCTGACAAAAAGTATTTACTGGCATGCATCTACAGACCAGGCCGAGCAAACATGGAGGAAAATTCACATCTAATATCCACAATCCAAAAAATATTAGAAGAAAACTCTGACGTGCTTGTTTGTGGAGACTTTAACTACCCCGAAATATGCTGGAAAACTCTTAAACTCACAAAGCCATGTCGCCATGTCAAAAAGCAAACGAGTTTCTAACAAAATATAAGGATAATGGAGATGTCGACAAATAGTCATATTCAAGACAAGACATAGAAACAATCAAAGCTCTTTACTGGACCCATTTTCAACAAGCGACATAAAAATGATAACACAAATAGAACCCAGGTCACCATTAGGTAAAAGTGATCACATTATGATAGCAGCCACCGCCCAAATAACGCTTAAAATAAATCAAACAAGAAAAATGAAAAAACCGAGGAAAAAACGCAACTTAACTTGAAAACTATGACGCCATATAGAACTACTATCAAGAGATGAATCCAACAATCAAAGAATACCAACTCTTCGAAAGCACTATCACCTCAACAATAGAACATTTCTTTCCAGAAAAAACATGCCGAACTAACCATCGAAAACCATAGCACGCTCAATCAGAAAATCTTTAAAGAAATTGACAGAAAGCGAAAACTATGGGACAACTATGTTAAAAATAAAATCGACGAAGGCTACAGCAGATACAGAATACAAAATAATAAACTAAAAAAATTAATCTCTGAAGCAAGGAAAAACTATGAAGAAAATCTTCTGGAAAAAAATTACAAACACTTCTATTCTTATATCAAGTGCAATCTAAGCAGCCAGATTCATGATTTAATCTTACCAGATTCAATAAGTAATGACCTTATAAAAGACTCAAAGACCACCGCAAACACTTTTGCAAACCAATTTCATTCTGTCTACACCAAAGAAAACCTTAGAAACATGCCAACACTGCCCATAGAGACAGTGAACAATAATCAACTCACTGTCATTAACATAACAACAGAAAAAGTCACCACAGCTGTAAGTAGCCTAAAAACCTATTCAAGTCCAGGCCCAGATAGGATACCATCTATATTTCTAAAGAAATGTGCTACGTCTCTAGCACCCCTATTAGCCCAAATATACCAGGATTCAATAGACAATGGTGCCATACTAGAGATCTGGAAAAAAGCTATAGTGATACCAATCTACAAAAGTGGTGATTATAGACCCATCAGCCTGACCTGCACACTGTCCAAAGTACTTGAGAAAATTCTTGTAAAAGAAACAACATCCTTTCTCTTAGAAAATGACATCATACCCTCTACACAGCATGGCTTTATGCCAAAAAGGCCTACTACAGCAAATCTTGTCAGCTGCCTGGACGACTAACCTAGATAAAGGCAAGCCAATCGACGTCATATATCTCGACTTCCAGAAAGCCTTCGATACAGTACCATATAAGAGACTTTGTTACAAACTGAGCCATTATGAAATAAGAGGCAAGTACTTACAATAGAGCAGCTCCAGCAAAGAACGAACTTTCTATGTTCGAGCAAATGGAACTAGCTCTGATTGGTATCCAGGTGTCAGCGGAGTACCACAAGAATCTGTACTTTTTTTCTCTTTTTTTTATAGTGTACATTTCTGACCTGTCAAAAACTATTCAAACCAAAGTAAAATCCTTTGGAGATGACAAAAAACTACATGGAAATCCCTTAACACAACTGCATCTACTAAAGGAAGACATGAGCACTGTAAAAGAATGGACAACCACATGGCTGGGGTTGGCAAATGACCGGTCAAATATCTTTCGTTCAATTGACCTAGTATTTGACCGGTCATTTGTCAAATTGCTCCGGTCAAATACTCCAATAGTGGGGAGCGTGATGCTATGACGGTAGAATTATTGCATCAATTTATTCCAGTTCTAGCCGCCAGGTATTACATAACAAGGGCAAATACTCAAAGAAAGAGATAGACAAGATTTTTAATAGTTTAATTTGGAATATTTACCTGAAACTCCTGAAAGTTACATTTTCAAAACCGGCTTATTCACCTTCTGATAAACTCTCAGGTATGCAATCTAGATAAAAACGCAATCTGTAATCCCACTGATCGGCAAGTTATCCGCTGACCAATAGAATTATAGAACGGTACATTTATGAAGCATCAGATAGTCAGCAGCAAGTTTAGTTGAAGATGAATAAACCAAACCTTAGTGGTTTTGTTTTTCGTTTCATAAAAAAAAGTGTTGATTTTGTCCTTTTTACCAAAGTAAAGAAGTTTTGTTTGTTTCATTTTCTAGAGAAAAATTTTGCTTTATTTTTTATACAATAAATTATTGCTTTTGCAGGTAATTTTTTTTAAATTGGTCAAATTGATTTGGTCAAATTGACCGTCAATTGTCAACTTTTGACTGGTCAATTGACCAAGGTGCCATCCCTACACATGGCAGCTACAACTAAATGAAAAAAAGTGTACAGTTTTACACATAGGACGAAATAACCCTAGATTCAACTACCAAATAAATAGCGTCGTACGCAGAAAAGTCTCAGAACAGAAAGACCTAGGAGTCTATGTCACCAATGATCTGAAATCGGAAACCCATATAGCCCACACAACAGTAAAGAAGGCCAATCAACTAATAAACCTTATGAGACAAGCTTATGCAAAACAAACTGTAAAAATGATGAAAAAAAACTGTACACCACTTACATTAGACCAAAACTAGAATATGGCCACACAGTTTGGTCTCCTTACTACATCAAAGACATAGATCTCTTAGAAAGTGTGCAGAGAAAAATAACCAAAATTCCAATTGAACTTAGAAATCTGCCATACGAAATAAGACTACACAGTTGAAAACACTCAGAGGAATAATTCCCCAAGTCAAAAATTTAGTAACTATGTTGGCAACTCAAGCCTTTTCTACATAAAAAATTTGAAAGCATTGAAAATTTTACATTGTATTGCCAACATAATGTCAGTTTGACTTTCATCTTTAAAAAAAAAAACAGATTTTAAAGTCTGTTTTTTTTTTAAATAAACGTCAAAATGACATTATGTTGGCAATACAATGTAAAATTGTCAATGCTTTCAAATTTTTTATGTAGAAAAGGCTTGTGTTGCCAACATCGTTGCCAACATAGTTACGAAATTTTTGACTTGGGGAATTATCTTTTTTAAAAAAAAAACAGACTTTAGATAATTCTCTGCCTGTTTTAATTTAATATTGGTTCAACTGAACTAAACATTACAATTTAGACA